GGCAAGGGCACCTGTCCTTCATCATGGAGAACGCCTTTCAGAGTAGTACCACAGAAAAAAAAATTATAACAGTGGGAGGAATTTGAATACTGCTAATAGCCTAATGAGCAAAAAGTCTTCAAACCATTGGCCAGCTATTATCTGCACAGATAGAACCTCTAGACACTCAACTCCGCCATGAGGCTACAGTACAGCAACCACTTTTGATACACTTAGTCCATCAGCCGCTGTTCCAGATCGAGAGATCACAATGGCGATGGTTGAAACGTTGGATCAAGATGCAAGCAGGGAAGACAATGCAGTGCTGACTGATTTACGTAAACAACACGGAAGGGTAGATCGCGCACCAGCTAGTTTGAGTACATGGATCAGATGGAACTGTCCAATTCAGTAAAGCTCAAGGGGGCTTTCTGAACGACTGAATATCGAGATTATCGGAAAAACCAGTAAAAAGCATTGATTCCGGGCTTCTGCTAACATGTCGAAAACATTCACAAAACTTTTCTGTGGTTGTTCGATATGCAGGTGGATACAATCATTTAGAAAACAACTGAAAACAACAGCCGTTGAACGCACGCTAATGAGTAACACTAGATTTCTACAAAAGTATAGTAGCTATTCTCGAGTAGTATCATATCTATTTACAGATTTTTGTGCTTCTTTCAAAAATTCAAAAACGGTTAGAAACATTTACCCTTCGCCCCTCTAAACAATAGACTTTAAAATAAACTGGTAAATGAACCTTGCTTGAAACCCCAGAATGGTTAAAACGCCATAATTTTCTGTAATTACCCGACAGGACAATTGATGAAATCTCGATCGGTCAAACAAGGTGGGTGGTAGATGAGCGTTTCAAGTGCAAGTTTGAGCACTACAAGCTGCCGGTTCATTCGCTGGTTCAAGGATCGAACAAAGCTGCTTTGACTTTTTACCAAATACACTAGAAAGATTATTATAAACGCATCCTGGCAATCTCAGATAAATATGTAAATTTACTGTAAGAGGACTCTGAAACAAACAACATAGCCAGCGATATACCCGTGGCCAATGGCCACGATAACAGGCTGTACGTAACTGAAGAAAACAACAATATCAGGAAGCATATAACCAACGCAACGCGTCGCGATAGCCACATCGTTTTCTCAATTATCCACGAGCGAGAGAACAGAACCAACGTTTCTAAAAAATAATGAAGATAACAAGAAATTAGTGAAATAAAAAATACGCTAGCCAAAACTGGTTTTATAATTTTACCAAGACGAACAAATAATAGTCATAAAATAGCACAGGTTGAGTATCCCTAATCCAAAATTCCGAAATCCGTAACATTGTATTAACTCTCTTCTTAGTCGTAAGTTTATGAAATATCTTTGGATTATACGAACAAGGATCGTAACACTCTTCCCGTCCCGCTTTCCCTCAACGATCTTGGCAGTCGTATTTTCTGATACCCGGCCAATCCGAAAACAACTTCACTCCATCCATAACGAGGGCCGGATGGTCAAACGTTATCGGAAACTCTCCACGACCCACTCGAGCGCACTAATGGTCACCGCTCATTTTGTCTGCAGGATCAAAAGGGAGAATACGCCAAACACACCCCATTTCATGCTTGTATTTCATCACTGAAACAGTCCATTAACTCCTAACTTCCACCCCGTCTCCCCGGCTTTCTGAAACATCCATAACTTCACTCGCAGCAGGCAGCCCTTTCAGATATGTGCTCATTATTTTTGGTCAGAAATATTTTTATTCAAAGGAAACAGATTCATTACTCTGTGTTCAAATGGAGAATTTGGGTAAAAAACGCGGTACATGGTTTCAAGTTTATATTTCAGAATTTTGTGATCCGTTATGAGTTTCTTCATCGATCCCCTGAATTTTATCTCAATTCTCTCCAACTCCACCATATCATGTATTCTAAAATTAGGAAAAATCCAAAGATTTGAAACAATCTTGGTTCGAAGCATTTTGGATAGGGATACTCAACCTGTATAAATTCATACAGGAGAGCAAGATAAAACATTTCACAGTAGCATGACAGGCAACAGCCTTAGGAAGTCAGGCCTGGTTCTCTTACGGCTACATAGGGGTTCCTCTCTTGTAGAGCCACCATTTCCATTCATTTTTGGTAATCATGACATCGTTCCAAACTTTATCCGGTTACAATTTATAGTTGAAAAATACAGCGTTTCTACTGTTGAACAACTAATCAACGCAGAAGGGGCATGGATGAGTAACATACTGCAATGGATAGTTATCGATACATCATCGACTAAAATACACTAAAAAGCTATTTAATCTGGAAACGGACCTTGCACATGTGGCTGTTACTTGCAGCGTTGTATGAATAAAACCTCGACATGGACAATTATAATGCACATTACATGCTGCACGGTGTAAGAACTTATGAGAAGCGGCCAGTGACCAAGGTTACGAACGGAAAAACATGGTGAAGTGTGTTAAGAGAGCGATATTTTGTGAAAAAGGAAAGGTAGTAAAGTTTATCACAGTTGGAATGTCGCTCTTCCTGCACTTTCATGAATGGGCCATTTTAACGCCCTTCTTTTAATTAAGTTGATGGTGTGGTGCTTATCTCAGTACCAGTGCCACGAGCCAGAAGTGCCTTATTTTTTAAGGCAGATTTTACAACCCATCTTGCAAATGTAGGGTGTAGTCACCTGCTTCCTTCCCAAAATGCGGTATTCAATTATCAGCCTTGAAAGGTAGAAGGGCGAGTGAACCCGAACAGGGCTTGAATTCGGAGCCTATCGGATTTGAGTCCGATATCCTACTACCGACTGAAAAAACTCGATCTGAAGCAAAGTGTGGTAAATTCCCTGTTCAAGAGAATCCGTGAATAAGACAAAGATTGACATCGAACCTGACACCTTCGATGTTCAAAGCAGATCTTTTAGATAACTGTGCCAACATGTCACAGTAGTGTAAAAGATTTGACACGAAACAGCCCAAAAAGTAAATACGTTAAGGGAGGCCATTCATGCACGTATGTATTTGGTTTTAATCGTTCTTTTTAAACTTGTAATCAGATTGACATCCTCGTAAACAAATTTTTCTTGAAGGCATGAGAAAATCTGTGACCTGCAGATGACAGGCCCTTTTAGTTTAGAGTTTCATGACCGATCGACTGGAACAAAAGAGAGGCCGCCAAACTCGGTGAACACAATTGTGGAACAGATTTCTGCTTGTATTATCGTTAGAAACCGCCGTTTTCGATTCACTGATGGATGAAAACTGCTCTATGAGTTTGTTTTAAAATACTGTTACATTTTGCATATATGCATCATCCAAACTTGTCGGCACCGGGTCTAAGAGCATATGTTATCATCGCCCATCCGGATTGCTGTTAGATGCTGAGGGACATTTTAAGAGGGACACGGCTGCGTCGAGTTTCAGCAACTGCAGTGGTGGATGCATCTCGCGTTATTCCATTTAATAGAGAAATATCTCGCCAGTCATCATATGGAACATGTTAGAGTTTTTCATACCACATGTTAAACCTAAAACTAAATACGCACCTTTCACTTTGCCTAATAGGAATGACTTGCCAGAGCCCCATTTGGCAAACAAGCCAACGAACACCGGTAGTGACAGAATCGGCGAGCACATTATGTCGGCAAGGATGCTGCTGTACAGCTCGTAACCCATCATCGCTTCTATCTTCACCGTGGATTCCAACGGCCCTATGAAGTATTCGCATAATGGCGCGCTATGTACATGAATCCGATGCGGCTCACCGAAAATGTGCGGCAGCATTGGCTTGCCACTTGCGCGGTCGATGCTGTACGGTGTCTCTCGACGTTTGTTCGGTTGATACAGCAAACGTGTGTCTTGTGGTCGTGACAGCAGAATCTTCATAAGCCGAATACTTCGACACCGGGCAGCAATGTGCAAACAGGTGTCTCCAACCTAAATGCAACCCAATAGCCACTATCGATCAAACGGTTATTCACTAGAGTTTCATCTTGCACGTTATGAAGGATAAACAGTTACGTAAATACGGTGCCACATGGTATGACGCAATAAGGAGAACGCGAAAACAAAAGACAGAAAAGAAACTATTCAACGATCAGTGAAGGCCCAGAAAATTTATTTCGTGCTAAAAGCACCTATTCTTGTTCGACGTAGCCTGATTTATAAGCAATGTTATTACTAGGAAGACTTGTTCTTAAACAATGAAGGATCCGAACGATTACGAAAGTATGATGACGTTGATGCTGATTGTACTGCCGACAGCCGCAACACCGATAGTAAAGACAATCAGAGAGCACCAACGTGTAATAAGAGAAAACAAGTAAAATATCGTTTATTATCCACTGAGCAGCTGCCAACGAGTTATTCCAATTATTGACTATGGCGAACCGAGTCGAAATGAGATTCTCTGCCCCAAGGATATATGCCAAAAATATCACTGCATCGGAGATAAAACACAGATGGTTATTTGAGTGTTTGTCGTAGAACAGCCAATTTAGAAAATACCGAAAAATATTTCGCTATCTTTTCAGCTTGACAACTTCTTACCAATACGATAACACGTTCAAGTGAAAGATTCATGAGGACAAGAGAAACAGTCACCATGAGAAAAATTTAGGCTGTGGTATAATGATTAAAGTATAAAACAGCTGGTGAATGAAACTAGCTACTATTGAGATATGATTTATAGGATGACGCCTTGAACCTTAGCGTTAGCATAAATGCCGCCATAGCCTGAACAAACTTTGAAAACTGTTCTCTATATCAATAACTAGATGAAAATGTTTTCTAAGAAACTTTCACTTACAAATTTGAATTCATTCGTAAACCCAGAGCTTAAACGTACCTTATCAGCAGCGCCAACATTAGCACCAGCCTGGATTAGTAGTTGTGCCGCGATGAGATTTTTGCAACGGGCTGCTCGCAGCAGCGGTGTATCACCGTCTTTGTTTCGTATTTCCGTGTTTGGAAGGTACTGCAGAAGCAACGACACAATATCCAATTGTCCTTTATCAACTGCAACGTGGAGAGCAGTGCGGCTCTGCTAAAATGAATATTAAAAATTAATAAGTAAATTAACATACACTTATGCAAAGCATGGTATCCTGCAAAAAAATCAGGTACCTACTTCGTCTTTATAGTCTAAATCAGCATGATGGTCCAGCAGGTCTTTGATTACCTGTAACTGTTCGTTTTTCACAGACTTCATGAGAATGCTCTCCTTCTTCTAAAAGCAGATTTTAGTAAGCGCCTACAAACACAGCATTGTTAAGCATCCACCTATCTCAATGTCCACCTTTGAGATGAAACTTCTAGTAAATTTACGTACAGCCGTGTAAAGTACACAATTATCGAAGGATTATAAGGAAGTATCCTGCACTTACTGTTAGAGAAGATAGTTTCTATACTAATAAGAGCGTTACTACTAGCATCAGTACAGCAGTTATACCGTCATTCTTTTATCGTTAATAATACATGTATTAGTTGCACTGCTACTATTACTGCTACGCACTGCTTTTAACAATATTAAAATAGTGTTTACAGGATGGCGGTAACATCAACGCTTCAACGCTAATATTAGAAATTCAGATGTTATTAGAAATAACAATCATAAAAAACGAATCTAGTAGAACTGCAGCAAGGACTGTTAGTTTAATTAGCTGTAATTTTCATAGGACACACACTGCACATTTTTATGGAACCTTTCAATTTTGGGTCTGTTATTTATCGGTTAAACGGCGTTTTAATTTCTTTATAAGGCAATCAAATATATAATATGGGTGATAACGTTTATTTCAACAGTCCAAACACTATACTACGATCCACGTTTTACCTTCGACTCTATATACAGTCGACTACGACTGTAGTTTATAACAAAATCTTAATCAGTAAAGTACTACCTGTATTAACCAGCCGTTACTACTGCCATCCGCTGCTACTCATAACGGAAGTGGCGGCACAGCAACAAGGAGGTAGGCTTGTTGAACTCTGCAGTTGTCAGAAAAGAATTTGCCGAAGAAGCAATCTTTGACCGTGAATTCAGCTGAGAAACGAGTTAACCCCAAACCCCATGCTGCTTCGGCTTAGCCAACCAGGAAACGGATAGGAAGTTGGTGACATGCGAATACTAAAGGCAGCATAATAATTTGATGTATTCGAAAATGTGTACGGCAATGATGTCTGAGGTGGGCGCCCCTTGACTGCCGCTGTACATCGCCTTGATCCACCTGATAGCTCACTGTCCAGTGTAATAATCAACAAAAGAAGTAACTCGATTTCGATAAACTGCAAAACTGTTACTATTAATAGCAACATATATTATCGTTTGTTATTATGATTACCTTGAGCCGCACGTAAGGCTCGCTGCACTCACCTTTTCAGCACTTCTGATATCAAGCACTGGTCACTGCATCTTAAAAGGAACAATTCTCCGCTGCACATCTGCCTTATCTTGTTCGTCCATGTTGCATCCTGCACTTCTAGTCGATGTATATCGTTTTTCAGTTCCCAAATAAAATGTTTATGGGTTAGGGTTAAGGGGCAATGCTCAAGCAATTTATTAAACAAAGCGAACTTCCTTTTATCACCACCATCTGCTTTCCATTGAAACTTATCTCGTTAGTGATACTGAGCCATACAAATGGACCCTAACAGAACTAAATTAAACAATGACAATGGCTGATTCAATTACGTTTCACAGTACGAGGGAAGCAGCAAAACAAAAGGCATTAAATAGCCGTTGTCTATTATAGGCATTAATTTTAAATTTGCCAGAAACATAATGACTAGGAAATAACTATGTATGAAAGCAATTTAATTGTAAACTTATCAAATTTCATTAATTAATAAACCGTTCACTATAATAAAAATGACAATACCTCATCCACCACGTTGACAAACGCGCCGGCATTTATCAGCATTTCAACAATCTAAAGGTTATGTTATTGCAGAAAGTGCACAGATATTAAAAACTATCACAAAGTAAAATAATGTTATTTGAAAATGGTAAATTAAATCATTGTTATCGAAAAGCAGAAAAGAAAGCTGACAAATGAAGCTATTCAGTCAGTCACTTGAAATAGCTTCGACGGTAAAGCATCAGACTCGCAGAAGAAAGGCTGAAAAGCTCGGCCATATCACTTACTCTTCACCGTTCTGACGAACATAAATCAGTACCACTATCCTGTTTTGAAAAAATAGTCATTACTGGCAGATCACACTGATAACATCACGTCATCGCAACTACAAAACAGAGGGATCCCAGACAATGTTCTGTAGAAGCGTAGAAGAAATTGATATCCCAACGATTTGAAACTTTGTTCTGGTGGAAGTCAGCATCCAAAATTCTATCAGAGAAGCTTTCATATGTTGGTTCAGGATACATACTCTTTCTGAAATAAATGTCGTTCAGTATGTGTCCTCGTCAACTAACGCGATTTAAAGTCATGGATGCCCTGCTGATAAACATAATCTAAGACGATCGTTTCTGTTCAGTAACCATCAATACTGGATTCGATCAGAGCACAACGCAGTTAAATTTTCCATCAGAAATGTCTGTTTCCGTGGCAATTCCGAATTCCGCACAGCAGAAAATGGGCAGAATACTTGGCGTTCACGTTAAATGAGGGCACATTGGTGGCATCAAGCACGTATTAGATACTACTAACTCTTATTATGTCTCATAGGCTAACAGCGAAAAATTTCCAAGACCTACATAAGGGAAAAATCGAAGTGCAGCATCTCATTGGAAAAAAACTAGACTAATAATTCTTAATAATGATCAGCGCTGATCTTACATGAAGATGGGTGAATGCTACAATAGCCTAATCCTTAATATGACAAGAAGCCGCTGAATGTATTTATTACGCAATGAAATACCAAGGGAGTCCAACAATACCAGACATCGCAGCGTGAATTAGTCATGCTGGAGACAAATACAAAATAGAAGAGAAATAACTTAAAACATTTGCTGGAAAAAACCTATCATTATCCACATAAGTATTTCGGTGCCATCTAAAACCCAATTTTTCCTGGCAAAAGCACGTAAAATCAATACCTGAAAAGTTCAGAATGGATTCATTTTACGCCGCGAGACCCTGTTTGAATCCAAACCTGCCAGGTTATTCGTTTTGGGTATATTTGATCACTGCTTAATTTTGCAGGTTCCATCATTATTCTCAGGACTCTTGCACTGGCTTTTAAATACTTGGAAATCTGCTAAAATTCGCAGCGAAAACGTTATGATCTAAATCAGTGCGACCTGATTTCACACGTGATCAAACGTTCTTCAAAATCTGAGGATCCGTTCGAAATGGTAACATCCAAAATCCATCGAATGATAAGTAATTATGAATTGTTTGGAGGTCCTTCGGCTAGATCATACCACATTTGCATCTATATATAAATGGGCTCTACCAAAGGTTCACAATCCCGTACTTATCCGAATCCAGAGAGACTCAAAGGTCAGGCGGAACACTTCATGTGTTCATAATGCAAGAACTCTTGTTACATTACTGCCAGCAATTTGTTCAACGTCCGTTCTATTTTCGTTTCACTCTCTTGAAGTTAGATTGTGGTAAGTTCTGCTTATTTTTTAGTTCTACTGCTAACAGTAAAATTTCTTGAAATCCTATTCATGCAATAAACTTAATTTATATGCCCTACAGCAGAATACAAACAGTGTCATTGAATGTGAATCAGGATATGTCATATCCTAATAATATGACATGAAACTAGTACCCGCATTCGATAAAATAAAACGAATGATTATTAATGGGTCATAAGTCATGCAGCAAATGCCATACAAATATGAGGTTACCTCATGATAACCTCCAACTGCGGCGTAAGCGAGGGCGGTCATTCCAGACTAAAATGGAAAGATAAAATAATTATACGACAAATGGAGAAAGACTGAAAGTTACAAAGTCAACGGCGTTTATATTTGATGTATGTTCGAGGATCATAGCAACCAGCTCAACGTTACCCCATTTCGAACAGAAAATCAATGGTGTCATTCCTTTCTAAAAAAAGAGAGATCACAAAACCATAGCAAACATTTTTAAACGTTTAGCATAACAGAAATAAGAACAAGAAAGAAAATTTTCAGTATGGACAAAAAAAGCATCATTTTTGTCACTAAGGCCGCACTGCCCTCTGATCAGAGAATAACATGCAGTTCATGTAATTCAAGAAAAGCTTCTGAATCCTCATTAAGACGTTCCACCCTACGGCACGCCAAAACATGATATAAATCTAACAGTCTTACACACTTTCCGATTATAAGCCCAGACGGAAACAGTGAAGCCAGCTTTTATAATAAGCCATGTATATGCAAACCTTAGCACCATACAATGTACTCCCTGAAAATAAAATTAAGCTACAACTGTGTTATGTACCTAACGAACGCACACGTTCAACCGCTCATTTTGACCATTATTTTCTATAGATTATATAACAAGGATTACAAACAGAAACAGTTATGGAAAAAGCGAAATTAACGGACAGAAGACGAACCGTGACTCCATTTATGCTATCCTTCAAAGAAATTTAATTTATTTTGCTTTTAGCTGAATTCGTGCTCTTTCGATCTACCTCCACTTATCTGTCAACCTACCTATTTATTTCTTACTCAGTTTGATATACAAAATAAGACCTATAATACTCCACTAGTCAAAATTACCCTAAGTATTTAAAATTTCCCTCTGAAATTAAGTCTGAAAATAGTGCCACGACCTGACGTGCCAAAATGGCATCACACTGTCTGCCACCTCTCTTCAGAACGAATAGCGACACCGCTGCTGACCGGTATCTTCGTCAGATTTAAGTAAATATTAGGCAGCTTCTATAAGAGGCTCTCTGAGAAGAATCGCTGGGCTCCCGAGCATCGATAAGGGTCAGGATTCAGACATCCGCAAAAGCCTAAGCTTTAGTGCAGAAATGCTGTTTCTTCAGATTTCTAAGGTACGTCTGCGAAGGTTTGCTCACGTCTTGTGGATGCTTCAAGAAAGGCAGGCAAAAGCCTGCTGTTTGTTGAACCGGCGATTGGTCAGAGACATCTGAGAAAGCTAAGAATGACCTGGGGCAAGGGTTCAACATCTTATACAGAACTGCTTCAGATTCGGGATGTCTGCTATAAATGCTTATACGTTGACAGAGAATCGTGAACATCT